AGAAGGACTCAAAAGCCCGAGAAGACTACACCTTCAAGGTGCGAAACGTAAAGGCTTATTCTCGAGCCTCTAGTTAAAGCACGCTAGACGGATTGATGATAGCCAAACGACAAAAATTGTTGATCGGGTCGCCCAAGTCTACCAGCTTCTCCAGGTGTGGTTCCAATGTCAACAGTTAGGAATCCATGAAAAGCACAGTCCATAAAGATAGGGATGACGAAGTTGGACGACGAGAGAGAGAGGGAGTAGCCTTTACAAATCCCACTCTCTCTAAATCTTCTGGAAGGTTCATGACCAGAGGCTTTACAAAAAAAGGCACAGCGTTTGTTTCAAAGCCTCAGAAACGTTCATCTTTGGCTAAATGTTTACAGAACTACCCGCTTCCAGACTCGAAGAGGTGGATGTAAAGTCCCAGTGAGCCATCGATGTGCTTACGCACGTGACATAACTGAAGATGTGGTCATTGTATCCTCTGCCTGGATCAAAGCCCAATGAGGCTTTCACGGACTTATATTTTACGTGCAAAGGTAGTATCGAAACAAGTGGCCATGCTATGATGAGTGTAAGACTGTGACTCAAACAGACGCTTTGCAAACGTATTTCTCGATAGAGTTACAATGGTTGGTTTTCTCCATGGGCCCCAACTTATTTTTTCTCAAATAAATTCAAACAGACAGAACACAATGATCTATCACTATCCTTGAATAGCATTGGTAGTATGGTCTAGTATAGTCCCCCTCAAGGTTCGAGGGGATATAAGTACTTCACAATCTGAGGGAGGAGATAAACTCCCAGACTAGGCCAAAGTAAACTAGATTGAGGGTTCGGATGCAGTTTAGTCAGCAAGAAAGAAAGCGGTGCTCACTTGAGAGACGTGGTCTATAACGGCTTGAAGCAATGGAACAGACTTTTAGGATAGGAAAAGTACGTCACTTGAAGCCAGTTGATTTATAAAACGAATCACTGACAGAAACTGAACAACCACTGTTTAAAATCTTGCCTGGATAGAGGGGGATATTAGTCTGTACAGTCTCCCAATTAGATGAAGGGGTGTGACAATCTCTTCCAAGATTGAATCCATCAGAGATGTAGGCTAAGTGTTCCTCACAGGCGTCCGAATATTCTCTTTGGATCCACGGGTATTCATGCCTTTACATGTTAACTCGCCTTTCCTGCAATTACTGACGGCTTTTTTTTAGAGGAACACTCATTACAGCTGCTGTCACTATGATTATAAATTTATGGGATAATTTTATGAACCGTACGTCAGTTGGCTAAGCATAGCCTACGCACAACTTTGCGGAGTGTTGAAATTTCATCAGGGTTTACAAGTTACAATGGCACACCACGTAAAAAAAATCGACCCACTTAGTATAGAGTAATCTCCCGTCAAGGAAACACCTGGTTGTCTTAAATGGTTCTCATCTATACCAATCACTTCAATTTATCAGCTATAAACCATGTGCCATAGGCATATTTGTTCCAGCTACTACAGTTTCGATCACCGAAAAACGGGAAAGTGGAACATAAAACCAGGCCTTGGAGGCCAAGGCATGTTCCGTTTGTGATGTGATCATCCCGGGGTGGGAGTGACCCTGTGCATCTTTGACCGGAGCACATCAGTGTGCATGGTGAATACGTTTGGTGGCCACAAATATTGATACTTTGAACAACTACCAGTGTCATCCAAATTCTAATGAAACCATAAAACAAGAAGCAGCCTGGTGCAGCAACAGAAACAGTGGCAATCATCGAGAACTCGTTCCTTCTCATGTTCCAACCTCGTGAACACCGATATTCGAACTGGGAAGTTCCACCAAGCGAGGCAGTGTCTAGATCTAGGGCTGAACTGTGGCTGAGTCAGTCACGCAGTCCTCTAGTATGCCTGGATCGTTAACATTCAATGCGAGTCAACGGAAACTCGGGTCAGTAACATAGGGCAACTGTGTCCAGAACGTGCGTCTTCTTCGGTTGTGGGGAGGGGCTGTTTCCTACGAGGAAATACTAAAAGAGGGAAAAGTTTCCGGCTGCCCACTGTCCCCCGAAGGGAGGTTCCTCTTGGAGAAAGCAATAGCTGACAAAACTATTCCTCCTTTAAATCTATCGCTTCGCGATGAATCAAAACGGAGCGAACACACATGACAGCAACTTAAGGCCAAAACCTACCAGGCATCAGAACCATGATGATTGTTAGACTCAGATAACTACACCTAATTCTTCCGAACATTTCTCACAATATTGTGATCATAATATGGATTAAAGAAGGCACACCCAATGCTCGCACGGATCCGCTGGGGTGACCTTCACCAAACTGTTTCATTACCATATTAAGTTACTACACACACACACACGCCCACATGGCAATATTGTAATTTAGGCCAGGATACACGTGCCTCTAAGGTTATCGGCAACAATCTGATCTCTGCACATGGACAACTGTCAGGGAGCGCCCAGACAGAGAGTGACGCATCCCCAAGGTCACCATCGGTTCGACACGTCCGGAAAGTAGGTGACTTGGCGGCTCCCACCTAACACGGCTTAGCAACACACGACCAGCGTAGTGGGCCTGAGAAAGTTCACACCCGGAACACCACCATTGGCTGTATGGAGCGAACAAGTGAACGACCCTATTTGGCCGTTTAGTCATCCTATATATTTACGCAGAGGCTCTGTATGTTTGGTCCTGGCAATACAGCCGTGTCCGCAGTTCTGTCTTCCTATCGCGTAGTCCGGCAGGCACAGTGCAGGCGTAACCCATAGCTCGGCCACCGCGCAAGATACAACACTGGCAGACGGGTGTTCACAATGGCAATTTCATTCGAACAGATGCAGTCTCTCCTCAGACAGCAGCAGCAACAGTTTGAGCTGGCACAGTTGAAGCTCATAGAAACACTCACTGAAAAATTATCACTTCAGAAACCTATTAGCCAGACTATTGAGCCGTCCACTTTGGCGATCGACACAATGCTCAACACGATTAACAGGCTTCCTTGGTCAGCCGTCGATTTCATTGTATGAATTTGAGCAAGAATGCTTCTGAGGACTGGGTTACATACGCCGGCAAAGTCAACAAGGAGTGTGAACGTTTCAACCTCCGAAGCATGACAGAGGATGAGTTCAAGTGTCTCATTTGTGTGCGGGTTGACGTCTCCCGAAGACAGACATAAGAACAAGAATCCTCAGCAAGATTGAACAGAACCCAGACGTCACATTACAGAATATTACGTCGGAATGCCAGCGCCTGATGAATATGAAGCGTGATACCGCCTTGATACAAGAAAGTGATCCCAGCAATACTGTTCATGCGATTCGGAAGCATACTGTCCGTCAGGGGGACAAGAAACCACCCTCGGCATGCTGGAAATGTGGTGAGTAGTATTTCGTCAATTTTTGTCCGTTCAGAAGACACCGCTGCAGCAGGTGCTCCCGTATGGGACACAAAGATCGGTCATGGCGAGAGAAGGCAAGCACCCAGGAGGCATTCTCGAACTAGAACTTCCAATTCCAAGCTTCCGAAGGCTCGCGTTGGTCTGGTCACTCATCAAAGCCCACACGGAAACAGGATGAAATACGTATCACTGCGTATTAACAGCAAACCTGTTCGTCTCCAGCTGGACACGGCGTCAGACATCACGATCATTTCAAAAAGAACTTGGAAATTTCTTGGCAGCCCAGCTTTAACCAGGACCAAACAAGTTGCACGCACTGCATCCGGAATTTTACTGAAACTCTCTGATGAGTTCAAATGTTCGATGACTCTTGATGGTGTCAATGTAAGTGGCATTTGTCATGTGTCCGACCGTCCTGGATTGGATTTGTTAGGATTAGATTGGATTGACAAGCTAAACCTTTCGGACAGGCCACTGAATACTATCTGTTACAAGACACAGGCGACGAGGAACTCAGCAGGTCGCAGCCCGTGCACTAAGTCCCTGTCAAACCACCCTCAATCAAATGGCCAAGCCGAGAGATTTGTGGATACTTTTCAACGAGCACTGTTGAAATCTCGAGGGGAGGGACCAACGTACGATCTATTTCCAGAAGCAAACTGTTTCATTACCATATTAAGTTACTACACACACACACACGCCCACATGGCAATATTGTAATTTAGGCCAGGATACACGTGCCTCTAAGGTTATCGGCAACAATCTGATCTCTGCACATGGACAACTGTCAGGGAGCGCCCAGACAGAGAGTGACGCATCCCCAAGGTCACCATCGGTTCGACACGTCCGGAAAGTAGGTGACTTGGCGGCTCCCACCTAACACGGCTTAGCAACACACGACCAGCGTAGTGGGCCTGAGAAAGTTCACACCCGGAACACCACCATTGGCTGTATGGAGCGAACAAGTGAACGACCCTATTTGGCCGTTTAGTCATCCTATATATTTACGCAGAGGCTCTGTATGTTTGGTCCCGGCAATACAGCCATGTCCCCAGTTCTCTGTCTTCTCCCTATCGCGTAGTCTGGCAGGCTCAGCGCAGGCGTAATCAATAGCCCACCGCACCGATACAACAACATAAAGTCAAGTATATCCAAGTGACCCCCAAAAAGCGTCGATGAAACGTAACTACCTCTATTTAGGAACTGATCATGTACAGTGATCCGATCACGGAAGCACAACGAAAAGAACTATTTGTTGAGGTAGATTTAATAGCACGAGACCTCGGAATAACCAGAGCACATGGCAATTGTGTTGGAAACAAGGACAGGCAGGCTAAAGTTCGGAGCGGGTACACAAGTGCATGTGCGGCAAGTCCTCCCTCCTCTGTACTGAGAGCGCACGCGAGCTAAAACACCGCAGACAACAAGCACTGTTTGCTAATACAACTCTATCAGGGTGCGTTGTTTCCGAACGGTGATGAAACCGCACTCTCTCAATGCGACGAAATGTCAGTGGGTGGGAGATAATGCTGGTTATGAAGCACGCGCATATAGCAGCACTTTGAAAAGAGAGTACACACGGAGTGCGCGAACTAGAACTACGCCACCACATAGGAATCGATGAATGTATGAACCGAAACGGAAGCAATCCAAGACAATGTGAGAGGGAGGACACTTTTTGAACCCGCACGGGAAGGAAAAAACAGATAAGTAATATACAAAGCATAGACGGTTGTAGTGACGGTAGTATGAGGGACTCGACCGGAAGAAGGCGCACACACATTAGGACAGCAGTAGACGGGTAAAAAGGTAGGGATGTGGTTAATACAGCATGTGAAGGAAAGGGAATCACCTGCACAGAATGGAGAGCTGTTGAAAGAATACATCACTACTGCGACACTAGATGGATGGGATACAACAGAGCAGTGAGGAACGCTATGTAGACGGCCGAAACCACATATCGCAGAAGATGCGAAAGACCTGTGACGCAAAATCTCGGCAGAATCGTGGAAGGGGACGTGACATCCCCATATGAAGAGCTAGCTAACTAGGGCCAAAATACTAAACTGGAAAAGACAACGGGCGGTTAAAGAGTCTGCCCCAGGTCAACAAGGGGGTAAAGAAATGCAGCGTTCAACACTGGCTTCGAAGACGAATGATTACAGCAGTAAAGCGGGTGGGAAACAACGATGCTTCTTTCACAGAATCAAGCAGTTAGTTCAGGATGCACCGGGGGATGATCCAAGTATTCCGGTATGGGTTTGTTTCCTTCCAAGTGCGTAGTGCTTGTCCTTCCAGAAGCGGAGTCCTTACAAGGACTGTTGTTAGTTTCTGAAGGAACTGGAGACCGTTTGTGTGGGAGCTGACGAGCGTTCGAATCCAAGTCCTTCATAATAGGAGGTTGGAAGTCCGAAGCCTAAAAGCAGTTGTTTGAAAATGGGTGATCAGTGGGGAAAAGTTTTTACTGATCTTTTTCTGCCTTATGGAGGAAAAACGCACCTAAGTGTTGGGTGAGGCAGAGGGGGATGAAAGAAAACTGCACTCAGTAAAAGATAAATCTGTGTCTTCCCTTTGCGGAAAACTCATCGAAATTTTTCAGCGACTCGGCGTGGTTTCTAGTGAGTAAAGTATCTCACGTCAACGACTGCCAGACCGATCTGAAATCTTTAGAAATAGCGGTTAACGATGGTCTACCATGAAAACCATTGTATCGGTCGAAGAAATACAAATGTTTTTATGATAGGCATGCTAATAGTACACGGAGTGGTGACAGAGCGAAACAGAGAAGTGCAACACGCAGAAGACCTTGATCGAGACACTCAGACGGAGCTCTGGTTATACCCGAAATAGCAATTGGTCGTTGCAGTCACAATTGAAGACATTGCCTGAGAGAAAGGCGTTGTTGTTGTTGGATATCGAAAACCCAGTCAGATAATCGATATCATTCTTGTCTGGATTTTCAGGCGGTATGAATTCAAACCATTCCAATCTCCTGTAACCTTGGAGCACAGCAATGCAAATATGATGACATGATAAAATGTTAGTAAACTACTAGTGGGAAGTGTGCATGAAAGCCCGGAACAATACTAATATATGTAGAATTGGAAGAGCAACCTGAACAAACTCATTGAATTTAGTTGGACATCTCGAGCTCGCAAGTGTGACGGCCACCAGCTAATTTTACACAACTACAACCACCCCCTTAACTTACAGCGTTTAAACTTGAAAGACGCCTATTCAAGCTCAGGCAGTCACTGGACACATAAACCGCCCAAACCGGTGGAACTATACGCAATCGGGGTACGAAACGCCACTAAGATCAAATCAAGATTAGCGTATATTTGGCTACTTATTTGGAAACCAACGTAAAAGGTATTTTGGCTGGCATTCATTTGAGCCTCCCGTTAACGCCAGCTTAGTTTGCAAACGAGTCTAGTTCATCAACTGCGTAGAATTATGGTGTTCAAGTACGAAAAAAGACCGTTCTTAACCGAGAAGCATCGAGAAGGGTGAAACCAATCGTGCGTCGTCGAAGGGTTTTCAGTAACCTTATGAGCGATGGGTTCCGTTAAGAAAACATCTTTTACGTTTGATTGTTTTAATATGTCATTTTTCTAAGGTCTGCAACGAATCTCCGCCATTACTTCGTAAGTTTCATCTTGGAATCATCGATTGTGAGAGGGAGGCGGCTGCCCTTCCATCACGATTTTCGGAACATTTTTAATGGGAATTGACGTCTGTGGACCGGTCGATACAAGCAATGAGTCATTTGATATCTGGAACTCGTCGAGGTGGACGATAAGTATGGACACGAGGAACGCGAACGACCAAAGCCATATAGGCTTCAAGATAGCAAAATTTAGACGGGGCAGAAGTAGGTACGAATGAAGGGCCAGTCAACGAAAAACGGAACTATCACAAATGACACGAAGAGTAGGCTAAGTACAAGCGTCTAGTCAGTCACATAATTGTTTACTTCAACAGATCTGCATAAAATCAGAATTGAAATGACAAAAACAAAACCTACAGCCAAATCGATATGCAAACTTCCCGGAGAATCCAGATCACCGACAGAGGAACAAGGCGAGGGTGGCCGGTCGTCACAACTCCCCGCGGTAGATTTCTGAGGCGTCATGCAACGCATCACGGTGGAATTTTTTGGACAAACTGGTGAAGTTGATGCAGTAGCTGAGTTAGGCGAAGTTTCTGGAAGACAAAACTTGGGAGGTGTAACGTCAACTTTTAGATCGATCGCGTTCGGTTTTGCTGTGATGTGCTGAAGGTCCAAGGAAAGCCTCGTACCATTCTGTCGACTGATTGTCAGCCATTTCGCTGCAACTGTATCGTTTGTCGGTTTATTACAATTACTATCATTAGGGTCGACTGAGTGTATGACCAGCGTGTTATCACGCTCACTGGTTCCATACGACAAACCTGTGGGATTAGAATGTCGTCTCGGTATGTCCAACGGCTCCAGAGAAGCAGATAACTTGGTAGAATGGGCTACAGAAGACAGAGAACAACCACGATCGCGTTTCTTCAACGGAACGATAGGTGGCACTGAGGAAACGGTTTCTACAAAAAAAGTTGTGAAAAAGCCAGAGTCATGACATTTGAGAACAGGTCCATATCTGGAAAGAATAACCTAACTAAAAGTCCAAATGTCAACATAGAAAAGAGAAGTGAAGCACAAATTACCTGCATGGTGAGCCGAAGTCGCCGTTAGCTTTTACAGAAATGTCACTGGGACGTTGTTGATTAAGTCCACTCAGGGTAACCTAGGGATTGAACCGTTTCGTGGGACAGAAAGTTTTTCTCAACAAGAGGAGAAAGTCCAGAACACAACAGCAGATGCAACTGAGACGCCTAGGTAGCGAGTTCAATGCTTTTTAAAGGAAGCGGTCTGGTAATTACTGCCATGGCATACGTGTCACTGCGACCTTACGAAGTATCAGCAGTTTTCAAGTCTTAACATACAACATTGATCTTCAAACGGATGAAAATCAGATTCCTAGGAACGCGGCTCCTAGATTGTCAGTCATGAAACCTACCAACAAATATCCTCATCCTCAGAACATTACAGAGACAAATGTAGAAACGGCTTGAAACTGCTCAAAGGCGCTGGACACCGAAAAGAAAACTTGATGAAGTGGTACCAAAACTTTCCTGAGCAACGTGTCGTTTCTAGCACACAACCCAAAGCCATTCCTCCGTTTTAGGCGCTACCTGGCTCAAAAGGTCCAGTCCAGAACGAGGATACAAATGAGATTGATCCACACCCCAGATTGTCTGATTGAGCGCTGGGAAGTGTAGGCACCTCCTGATGCTTGTGACAGACTAGCACCAGATTCCCCCTCAGCTATTCTGTTCTTCTTTTAACTTTAAGGCTGTAAATACGTTTAAACGCTGCGCCTATTTGGCAGTGAAGTGTCGGTGTCAACGCTGTCTCTGATGATAGTAGCTTCACTTTATTGTTATGGCAAATAATGTGTATGGATTCTAGCTTCAAGCTTAGCATCAGTGGTTTTGCATTGGCTTTCGCTTTGGACGACAGAAACTCAGTCCACTTAGATTTACTTAGAAAGCAAAACGAGCTGGGGGTCCGTTGTACGTAAGGTGGTTGCTTTGTTTCCGACTGAGCGTCGGTCCGCATGAGCACTGGTTTTCTGTTAGATTACCGAAGGACTTCGCCTGCACGGAGAATTCGTCAAAATCACTCACATTGAAGGGTTGCTCAGAGCGAGGAATTACTGCATTAGCGCCCATATATCAGTGGACTATGACAAACAGAACGGATACACTGGGGCAGAAACGACCGATGAGAGAATAATGACTACCACAATATGAGTACTGCGTGCCTCAAACATCCACAATAATTGCGGAAACTTGAGTCTATGAACCAGCGACCTGTACACCACATTATTGCAACAGTGAAATCATACTCTAGAGGGAAATCTTATTCAGATTGAGAACTGCAGATGGGATATTCTACTAAAAGTTAACTACACCAAATTAAAGCGGCAGTACCCAATGATTGGCTCTAGTCACTTCAATGAGTTGATGGAACCCTATGTAAATCTGTCTCAGCCATCTTCGCCTAAAAATCGCTCAAAATAAATGTCATTTAAGCACATTAGTGAGGCACAATCGGAAAACCGTATGAGGAATCATGGCAGCGTTGGCCAATGCGCTGTCTCCATCTCTGACTTTCCTTGGACAACTGAGATTCATGATATTCATGGTGTCGATTTAACCATCACAGTAACTAGTCGCAAAAAAGTACGAAAGCGAAACTACTTCTCACCTGCTACTGTTGTTATTGGGTTGATTGAGCTCATTGGGAACGAAATAGAGGTGGATATTCCGGGTACCGCGGGGGAGCTCGAGACAACAGAAGCAAGATTATTGGGATGGATTTGAGCACGTATTTCCTCAGTGATAGCCTTGAAGGTGAGGAAAATTAGAGGTGGAAGGTTATCTTCACTAATAACAGCCTCAGCATCAATGTATTGGCTAGAACAATTAAAAAATGACTCTTGAACACTACAGACAGACAAACACCTCCAAATATATTTGCCGCGAGCCTGTGCTGCACAGCAGTAAAGTATATGTTGAGTCCTGCACGGAGATAGTTCAAACACCTTGTGAACTCGTGCAAAGTTGGAACATAGGGAAGTTGGTAATTAGGAAGTCGCTAACAAAAAGAGTTGGCGGATCAAGATCACGAAAGCATCAAAAATGCAAGACGTATGGTCCAAAATGGAAAACTATGGCTGTCTATTTGATCGTATTACGACGAGATTCCGGACACACCTTATTGATTTGTTCTTCTAGTGTATTCGTGCTACCAGAGCGCGAGAAACCAGGTAACTTTTGTTGCACGGTATCCCCACCAGTGGATGGTACTGTCCCATTGGACAAGTCTGCTGCGCCACTACTTGTGGTTCCGAATCCTGATGAAGTCAGTTTGGGGATATTGCGATTGGAAGCAACGGAGCCGTTAGTGTCATCCGCATTCCTGGTAGACGACTATAAAACAAATGGAATATGAAACGTCACAATATCGAGTGTGTATGTTGGAGGGAAGGGGCAAAAACTGCAAATTACAGATGAGGAAAGCAAAAGACGGGTACGTACGCGATTCAGATGACTGTGTATAAGTGCGTCGATGTATGTTACAGGATTCAAGGGCTTAGGAGCTGCCAAGTCCTTCTGAGTGGAAACGATTGGTTGCTGATTCGAGTCTCCCGGGATAGGTTCGACTTGAGACACCTCGGGAAGAGACCGGCGTCGATTAATTTGGGATTCCGTATAACCTCGACGTCTGAAAACGTGTGCGCTTGTTGGAAACAGAGAATCCACACTACTGTCATCAGGAAGTTCATCACAAATAAATATTCGTGGTCTTTGAGTTGGCGGGCTTCGTTCATGCAATTTTGATACTGGTTTTTCAGGAGAAGGGGGTCCAAAGCATTGTGCACTGGGTAAAAGGTGAGCGCGTTTCTAAGGGGAAAACCGGGAAGATCACAAGGTCCCCGAATTAAGAGATATGACGGATAAATGAACATAATAATAGCGTCATTGAAACCATTTATGCATCAATAAGAAGTCGATCAGCAATGGGCGATTGCGTCATGCTGAACTACTAAGTATGCACCTGCGCGGATACACGAGCTCTACACATCAAAGTTCGGGATTAGATTCCATGACGTTCCCATCTTGTTCTAGAAAGTAGTTCGACATCCACCCTCACTATCAGATACATGCAAGATACATGTTAAAAAACAAAAAAGTGACTTGGTCCGAACTAACTTTGTAGCTCATAACATCTGAGTGGACCGCAATAAATAAAAACCAAGCACAGACCTGGGCTCCTGAAATGATATCATGCGAAGAGATTTGTGGTAAATTCATTGAGATAATTATTCCTGTATAAGTCCGATTACAACATGCACGAATCGAGCCAGGTAGCGAAACGGAGACGTATGGCGGAGGGAACAATATCCAAATAATTTCAAGCACCAGCTTTGCCAACTGATATAATACTGCTTTCTCGTGGAAGGGAAACGAAAGCGGGTGTTGAGTCAGCGGTTCCTTGACTGTCTTGGAGAATCGACTACACTCGCATTCAAAATCAACAACGACAAGTATAACCAGCGCAATTAAACTGGGCGAAAGTGCTGCTGTGAAATCTGGAGGTGGTGACGTACAATCTCTTGTTCCGTGTTGCTTTTCAGGCCACACTCGACCGCTGAAAGACCAGAGGTCCACTCTAGAAAGAAACTTGGAAGCGTTGGAGACACGACCCATAACAGTCCCAGTTACCAATATGTGAGTGAAAAGGGGTTCGCAGTTCTAATCCATTAAGACCACTGACCTGTGCTTTAAGCTGGCTACAGTGACGAGTGTGCAAGCGGTGACCCTGAAAGCCGCCTAATCTCTGATCAGTGTCGGTCAAGTGCCAAGTGTTTTTCAATGGACCGATCGAGTAACTTTAGAACCTGATGAATCATCGTACCCGGGGACACTGGACGTCGACAAGTCAGGTTATGTCGAAACCGCAAAGATTTGCTGGAATGCAGCCCAACCAGAGCTTGTCGTGGTTCACTACAAGGGCATCCATATTAGGCTTCAACTTTCACGTCAACGATGAGCTCTACGAATTGTGGTGATTTGCTGCACTGATGCATGAAAACTAGAGATGAGACGTTTCGCGCTAAGGCAGTTGACTGGAACGATCATACAAGACACCAAATGTTGGTAGCGGACTCAAAAAAAAACACTGAGCACATCGTTCTGTTGGACAGTAACTTCGGAGAACCTGATGGTACCTCCGACTGTCTAGCTCACTACACGGAACGCGTAGGACTCGAACTCACGGTTCAGCTCCAGTTGTGTTACAAACCTAGTAGCGTAGCCACTGAGAACAGAATGTGAGGAAACTGGAAAAGCTATAACTTCAAATAACGGATAGGTAAAACGGGAATCGTTGTGAATATTGAAGAGTAAATCAAAAAGAGTGCACTGGTTAGATATCGCCAAAACTCTTCGTGGCCTTAATGGGGAATGAAATAAAAGGGTATGAAGCATATGCATGCAACAGCGGTATACAACTAATTCGAGGTCATTTACAACGATAATGTGAAAGTGAAAATAATGTAATAACGTACAGTTGTCGATAAATCCTCTATTGTTTCTGACGACCGAGGTCTTTTGAGGACCGAACTAGATGTTCCTGATTCTGTTTTAGTAGGACTAATCACCGGATCCAATGGAGCTGCATGTTGCGGTTGTTGATGTTGCAATTGGCGAGCACTTTTCAGTGCACCCACAAACCGAGAAGCTTCGCTACTAGTTAGGGTACGCATGGAATCAGAACGGTCCCTTTTAGCATAGATTTCCACCTCTTCACAATATCGGCGTTGTGCATTCGATATGAATGTGGCTATCTGAGCGCTGGGTTCGTCAGGAATTTTAGCCGAACCGCAATCGGTCTGGGATCGCCAGTTTGAGGAGATGGGAGACGTTTTACCCGAGGCTCCCGTGATATCGGTCTAAATAATGAAAACGAAAGATGCGAGGGAGAACACATTATAGGCTAGAACAAAATCTCAACATTTGACTTAAGCAAGTTTGAGAAAGTGAAGCAGATGTAGCTTGAAGCACGGCTGGAATGAAATATGCAAGTACAAAAGGAAATACTGGATCGCCTTAACCGCATATTCCTACCGCAACTCATTACCGGTGGACCCCCAGAAACGAAACTGGTCAAATAAAGGAAGTTCTTTGAACCCTTGTCCTACAATAACGGTTTTCTGTTGTTGTCCGGACTCGTTACAAAGAGACATTCATTCAAATCGGTTAGCTGAAGCAATCACCCTAATCGCAAGCATTTCTCATGAATTGAGCGTATACCAATCGTCCTCAATGAGGTTATGATTCCCGTAGCGAAACGGCAAAGTGGGCTGTGGCGGCTGATTTTTTCTCAACCTACGCGGGCGCTTCGGTTTCACGCTCAACACTTTTAATCGCGATTGACTTGTTTGGTGGTTGCCGTCCTACACGACCTCCAACACGCTTGGGATCGGGTCAAAAGACAGTGGATTTTCGCTGACATTGATACACCAGGATTTTTGATGATCAAACAGATCACACTCACACACGAAGCCACTTTATCCTTATTGGGAATCATCAGCAGTGCGCAGCTAAAAAAAACCAGGGAGTTTCGAAACCTCAAACTCCTGCCTAGTAGTGTGAACACTTAGCCGTTTGGCCACGAGCGGCTGGAAATAGCTCAGAAGGAAAAGAATAATTCTTAACTTGAATTGTTTACCGGCCAGTATGTTCTTTTGGCGTGGTAGCTTGTGCATCAAAGGATGAAGTTATTGATGTCTGGTCAAATAAGAATGTAACGGCCGTATATAGTACCCGGTTGTGAACAAAACGCACAGAGTTTCGTATTCTATATCGTCGCTCTGTAAACCGAAAATTCGTGTTGACGAAGGCTAGCTGTCCTACTTATACCTGACAGTTTTAGAGCCGTCACGAAGATACTGAACTACCCCGCCTTCGTGGCTCACTGAACCACATCGGATGGTCTCAAATGTGAGACTCGCAGTCTCACACCCGGTCGGTCTAGGATTGGTATTCAAACTGAAACAGTCTCCTGGCCTTCCAGGCCGAAGGATGAAAAATCTTGCAACTTGTGGACAGAATTTGGTTGAGAGCCTCAATCTTTATAATAAAAAAAACATGCTAGCAGGCGTGGGGCCATAATTTCAAGTTATATCGGCCTACTCGAAGTGTCGTCTTATCTGTTGCACACACTAGGGTAGATAACCAGAAACAGGCAACTGCTGGCACTTTATTTCTCCTCCACATATTTGTTTTCCGCATCGCTCATCGCACAACCATCCATAATGGGTGAAAGCCCCGTCATTAGTCAAGTTTTCAAAAGAGTTCCTTTTACGTTTTTTTGCTTTTGGAGCCACACGTGTGCAGATTATCGGGTGTCCGTGTTGGGTGCGAGTTTGGGTCGTCGAAATGCTTGAGCACCCTGCCGGCCAACCGGATCGAAAATTTAGGCATCGCGCACGAAACACGGGCTTAGACAGCTCGAAATCAGTCCACAAAGCCTGATACTGAGTTCATATAGCTGCTTTTATTGTTCGCACTCTAAACAGGCAGTTTCCGCTCTGATGCCGGACTGAATTTCCAATGTGTGCTGCTGACCCATAACAGAAATCCAAGCTTAGTTGTCAGAACGTTCCGCCAATTTCCGCTCGCTTCTGGCTCTATAATACGGCTGGCCATGCCATATCTGGACGGAAGTGCATAACTGCATAGTCGGTAATGGTCGCTTCTGTGCCGCTCACCTAGAAACGTTCATGAAATAATTTTGGAACCGAAAAGATGACCGTTGCTCTTTAACCCTACATTTGATCGCACCAGCAAGACGGTTAGTAAAATTCTACAGGCGTTTATACTGAGTTATTTGCCGTGGTTACCGGAGACAAATTCGAAAGCATGTAAGCCTATTGCCGCTGAAGCCTAGCTGAGTGGTCGTTGCTAGAGCACGGTGCGAAGGGACGACGGTTGACACCTGGCGCAGCTGCTTGCCGATCTTGGAGCGTCTTAGAACACCAACGTCCGAAACAACACAATTCACGCGTTTACGTGACGTCCTCCGTATAAGCATAAGCCCCACTCGCGAAGTTGCCACATCGTTATCCGTTATAGATGAACTGGATTAGTATCTCATTGCCACTCGCTTTGAAATATTCCTTTAGAATCAGGTCATGCACGTGTTCGTTGCTAGTTCTCTTTGCATTTGACAAAGGTATTGGAAATGTGTGTAGCTCATCTAGAAATAGAAAGTCGTGGATCCTGAGGTAAGTATTCTGATACAGTCCAATGAACTATGGATGGCATCAACATTAGAAACTTATTGATGTCAAAAAAAACTAGACCAGCAACAAGCGACCAAGGTGACACAGGTCAATCAAATATAGGATAATCAAGAGTATAAAGGATGACAGGGTACTAGTGGATCTCAAAAGCTCGGGAGACGAACAGACTCTCCGCTTGTTACAGGAAGCCGCCGCGCTCTATTTCAGCTGGAACTGGGAGCTTGTTGTCGGCGAAACGGCTTACGAAAAACCTGGAACAGTTTGGTTGTTGATCTGTTCGCTGAGCTTGGTAGTTGGATCGCAACGTTTCATCACCATCGTCAGTGCAGGGGTGAGTGGGTGAACAACCAAGCAGCGCACCTGAGCTACCTACATTCAACAACATTGCCAACATGGAACAGTAACCCATACGCAGGATCACCGCCTTCGGAAACGGGTTGAAAACTTTTACTAACAATTCAGCTGAATGATAACGCAACCCTTAGGGGACCCAGAGAACTTGAATGGAACTTTGACACCGGCCCCCCTCCCCATCATCAACCTAAATCCAGTGCGAGATGTTGTCCTGGTAACCTGTCAAGATAATTTGCACTCAGTACTTCATGAAGGTGGTGAAGCCCTGGCTAGCAGTCCAAAAGCACTGCTAAAAACGACTAAGAATGGAAACAGAGTAAAGAATGGGTGAATGCAACGACAATTCCAATCCCCAAAACGGGCACAAAAGATCAGTTGAAAACCATCGTGGTACCAATCTCATAACGATAGTACCCAAAATACCCTCTGCCATTACCTCGACCGGGTTAACCGACTACGTGGAGATGAATTCGCAACAATCGAGCTGTTTTTCAACCCGGCTAATTAAGCATTGACCTACCTTTGTTTTAACAGGTTTTTGAATGGTGCCATACCTTTAAATGCCCAACAATGGTAGTTTTTTACGACCTGAAATCCACTAGGCTCTACTTCGACCGGTGGAAACTATTCAGGTGTCTGGTGACGAAAGTTGTCACTTCTAAATTCTCATTCTTCATAAAGGCACTTTACGCTCGCACAAATGTACGACGTGCTTCGGTCATTACGTCCGGTGGTGTGAAAGAGGGTTGATCACACTCACCAGTCCTATTCATATGTCGCTCGAAACTTCGTGAGTTCAAATGTTCCGGGGAACTCTCTCAGGCATTCAGTAAGCGGACCATGTGGCTTTACTTAAACGGTATAAGACATTTTAAATGAGACATTCAAACAAGACATTCAGACCTTAAATATGGTGGATATTTCTGATGCATGATTCGGTATAAGTTTTACATGAGCAACCTGTAAACTACTGCTACACGATTGAGCAACACCAAACCCAAACATCACGCTGACAGACCAGCCAACTGATTGGTAGACGACGAGATAAACGGAGACAGGAACTGCAGTAGATGGAACCCACTTGGCCTTGGCGAATATTTTACAAATGCTTGACTTAACTGAATGAACAGGAGGATACAGTGAACTAGCTTACTTTCGGAGGACTCGGGGAGAGTGGAGAATAAGCGCAATGGGGTAGCGGCGGAAGAACAACGGGGGAAGCGGGTTGCGCAACGAATGGTTGTAACGCTGTTGATGAGGCAGCTTCAGTTCGTGCAGCAGCGGCGGCTGCTGCCGCGGCTGCGGCAATAGCTGTCTGGGCGTGAAAGGCGAACCATGCTGCTCGCTCTGCAGACAACGAAGGGGCGTGTTCTTCTGTAAAAAGAGTGGGAGATAGAGGATAGAGACGTCGGATAGAGACGAATAATCCGAATATTGAGCTCCAAACTTGAAGCACGGGATAACGGAATCTACATGAAAAGGAAATCCATACATACTCGAGAATGCTTAGCATGAAGACTGATCGTAGTGTCTAGAACAATTTGCTGAACGGCGACTTCCTAAGTGTGTGCATTCGTTGGAAAGAGTGGATTAAAGAGTGTGTATAAGAGTGAAAAAACGTCTGAAAATCAGGAATGAACTGAGGCTTAGAAGCCGGTATGGAAATATCCGAAAAGTAGGATGTTAGAAAACTGACAGCGTTCACAGTGAAGACTGTTCGGAGTCAGAACAAGATAAAGGGGACATCACCAAAGAATTGGTCACGAAACTGTGTAAAAGTGGGGATGGTTTACATTCATGAATGGACATTCACGCAACCGCTTCGATCACTCACCAGCTGGTAATTGAGGAGGGCCACCACGTGAGGATAGACGGTCCAAGTTGGGAGAAATAATGCTATTGCGAACAGTGGAAGGTCCAATCGGGAGTGGAAGTGTACTCGGATCGATGCACCGCGAATGAGATGTACTCGGAGGAGGGGCGGTACGGTCTGGACACAGAAGAAAACATATAGGGCAATATTTGGAAAACGGTGGGGGTGGATTAGCAACTCTACTAAGGTCAGTAATACGGATTGTCAAATAGTAATAACCGGAAATCGGTTGTGAATATGGAATTGGAAGTCGTGAGTAGCTAAATAATGGATATACAGGTCAGCTGCAGTTTCATAGACGTATATGCAAATTTCTCTTTCACCATCATCATGGACAGCACGACATCAGTGTTCAACACCGATGCTTTCCTCTTTAGAGTTTCATAGACGTATATGCAAATTTCTCTTTCACCATCATCATGGACAGCACGACATCAGTGTTCAACACCGATGCTTCGCTTCCTCTTTAGGGCCTACAGATGAATTCTGTGATAGCTGTTGGTCTGTTTGTCGAGTCCGACAGATAGTTTACAAATCCTTACCATTGGATGAAACATCATCAGTGCATAATACTTTCGGAACGCCGGTATGAAGGTGATATGTTTCTTATAGATAGAGAAGGAAGCCACCTTCGTCAGACCGTATAATGCTACCCGGATTACTGTTTATGTTATATATATATATATATATATATATATATATACTCACCC